AATGAACTTAAAGGAAATAATGAAGTCATCATAACAATTTCAGTCCTCACTTTAAAACTAAATGAGCATTAATTTGCATTGTGTTTTCATTTTTTCGTAGACGTTTGAAGAGTAGAAGTGCCGCGAATTTTTTTAGCACATCAAGGGTGCCGCGGTGAAAAAAGTGTGGGCACCCTGTAGTACACCCTACAGTGGTGTCATATCTATTATTTCTATAATTTTCGGTGTTGAGCAACGCTTGTACCGCCAACCTAATTTAATTGCCAGGAATGTAGTAAATGCCATATTCTCATCATTCTTGAGTAAAAGCTTTAAATTTGCGTTCTCAACACTCAAATGCAAAAACAAAGTACGTGTAAATTTTCAAGAGGCGAATTGTGTGTGTGCCTCATGTGTTGCTTGGTTTTAATGGCGCTGGCGCTTTCCATATGCTGGTGTTTGCGCGGCAACTCCGGCTAAGCTGTTAACGAATTGCGCCGCGCAGCGCAGTGTTATCCATGCCTAGAGTGTTGGCGGATGGTTGAAAAGTTTCCAGTCTGCTTACATATACACATTGTGCATACATACATTCATCGGCGTAGCCAGAATGAAATTTAGGGGGGGCGGGGGCTCGACCATTTTAAGCTGGCATTTTAGGGTAATATTTTATATACATACATATAAGGAAAATTTGAAAGTTAAGGGGGGGCTCGACATAGTTCAACATACTTTCGTAAAAATTTCGAGCTTTTTAATTGAAGTTTCTTAAATATTTTGAGTATGCAATTTTGTAGCCCACTCAATTTTAAAATAATAAAGTGCAAGTTTCAAATGGCAAAAATATCCATTTTAAGATTTTTTTCTAAGTTGTTGCGCTGTTTTATTCCATATATAAATAAATTATGGGCATTCGCTATATGAAAGCAAATGCAAAGAAAATTCTTAAAAATCAACGGTAATTTTTAGCCATTTGACACTTTGTTATACTAGAATTGAAAGAGCTGAAATTCCCCACAAAAAACTGTCCATTCCCCGATTCCCCACGCAAACTGAAATTCCCCGCAAATCGGGGAATTCCCCACAAGTTGGCGTCCCTGGGCTGCACCTACTTATCGCTACAGACACACCCTGCGCACTTGTACCTTACCTGCTCGCATGTATGTATGTATATCAGACTGCATCACCAAAAAAGTTACTAAGCTAAAAAGCTCTAGCAAAACAAAAGTTTATACAACCTTGCGCTAAGGCCTAAATTAAAGCAAGCCCTTTATACCCTGACCCGATGGTCACTTATAGTCATTTATTAAACAATAACAAAATACTGGAATATTAAACTCTTGTTCAATAAATGACTATAAATAGCCTTAGGGTCAAGGTGCAGGGATGGTATTTTTTGGGATTGTAGTCGAAATTCAAGCCCTAATTTAAGCCTAAGTGGCAGGTTCTTTCACCTTTTGCTTTATTGCGGTAGGTATTCAAACTTCGCCAAAATCGGTCTTTGCCGTTCAATAAATGACTATAAGCGGCCATCAGATCAAGGTGCAGCGACGGTATTTTCGCCGATAGTAGTCCAGAGTTTTGGCTTTTATTTCAGCCTAAGTGGAAGGTTCTATCACCTTTTGTTTCTTGGCTAGAGCTTCCAAAATATTGCAAAAAACGCGGGTTTTTGACACTTTGAGCTCATTTTCTCAAAATTTGGAGCTGATTAAAAATTTATACTTACGGTTTCGTAATCAGCGCAAAAAGTATATCAAAAGCAGTTTTACCATTGGCTTCACCAAATTGTTTTTCCATTTTTGTTAGCCTGTGTTATTGATTTATTGATGCTGTCTTTTTTACTTGTTTCAAATATTGGTTTAAGAGAAATTTGAATAACTGGGCCAAAATTTTACCGATTTAAACTTATGTGGTATCAGTTGTAAGGTATTTTCTCACTTTTTAAAACTCATTCACGTCCAAATTTTGTTTTTCACAAATATCGACACATCTTAATTCAACTTTGAATGACGCTCGATCATCTTACCGTTCTCTTTCATACTTTGAATAAGTTTATTTATTTAATCTTTGAAAAAAGTGCAAAAACAACATCAAAAATCTGAATATTTAGAATTCCATACATTTTTTTTTTTTTACATTTTCGTGCAAATTGTTTTAACCCCAAACCGTTTTGTCTGAGGAGATTTTTTTCAAAAAATACTTATAAAAAACATATATGTAATACTCCTACTAAAACACTACAGTACAGATATATCAATAAACACGTACGAAAGAAAAGGAACACATACGTTTACAAATAAACATGTACACAACACATATACAAAAACGGCACTCAAGTACACAATACATTGACAAAAACGGTACTAGACTGTCTCGCTTTGATTTCGGAATGCTTACACATTGCGAAGTTAGCTTACTGCCAATATAGAAGTATTACATATATGATAAAAAACTAAAATTTTGGAGGTATTTTTAAATCGGTCCAGCTCACGTAAATCTTAATATTTTTCTAAAATATTTTGGCTTCACCATACAATATAATAGATTTTATAATGGAGAAACGGTACCGATTTTTTTTCTATGGGGATCGATGCAGTCTAATGTACATATGTATTTGGATAGCATTCGTATGAACGGCAACATAAAGTCTTGCTTTTTAATGGCGAGGACGTGGCTCGAATTATAAATAGCCAAAGCAAGAAAACAAGCATTAAAAGAATTGTCACACAGCGAAGAAGAAACGAAAATGGCGAAAACGTGAAGATAGTTATGTATGTATTAAGGCCCCGCTACTGGCGTCACCATTGTAATTTAAATACCATTTTTGGATCATTGACACGACATTGCCGCAAAATATTGTGCTTTTTTTTTATCAAAACAAACGAATTCTTAAATGTAATAAATAAATGCAAATATACGATTTGTTCTTTAATATTGAAGAGGACATTAAATGGAACTCGTTGTCAATAGATTTTGTTATTACTTTTAGAAATTATACTCACAAATGAAATTTAAAATACGAGTGCATTTCTTGTTAAGTTATCCAAATTTATATACAGTCCAGTGATGAATAATTGTACCTTTTTCCAACGTTTGATGACTGAAAGGTACATTAGGTACAGTCACTAGATTTTAGGTACAATCATCTTTTGATTAGATGCATTTTTTGTTTTCTTTTTCTTTGCCGTGCTAATATATTTACTTGTAGGCACGGGAGGAGCTTCGCTTTCATTTTGAAGTATAAAAAATTCTAAAGAAAAATTGTCAAAAGGAAGAAATTAAAAAACTCATATTATGTATTATCTTAAACATTTTACATTCATTAAGAGCAGCCAAATGCAAATTACTTACACTTTATTTAGCTATCCTCAAAATCGTAATTTTTTTTGTTAATTTTAAATCTTATTTTCACTAAGTCAAATTCAAATGAGTGAAAACAAATTTCCAAATGGGACTAAAAAATGGTCTTTTGATTGATTTAGATCATAACAGGCCTTCAGGCGTGTACATCCACTGCTAAAGCGGCTATTTGTAAGCTTTTGCCCATAATATCACCGATAAAGGTAGGGATAAAGGAAAGCAAGTTGTGCCAAAATTTGTCGATAAATTTTGTTGTCAAAATATGACATAATGAAAACCACCCTTTCTTCGCCCATACATTCCAATATCTTGGATGTCTTCAATTGTCTTCCCAGAGCGTTTTTGCTTCACATCGAAATTCGTGCTTCCTTATTTTCATTTTGACGCAGTGCAATGTTGATTCTTTTACTTTTATTTGGCTTTGCTTTTTGTTTTCGCTCAATTTAATTTTTATAAATTTTCAAAACAAAAGAAAAAACTTTTGAAATGAAGTGAGCCATACAAATTTTGAATTTATTTATGTACAAGCAAATATTTTTTTCCGGCTTTTGCAAATTAAATAAGTTCTCTGCAAGATGGTTTATATAAAAAAATACGTGTACATATATGGTATACGGGGTATGGAAATATCCCTTTTCCCTAGCAGATAACTTATTCATTTTGTTTAAGTAAAGCGGAAAACTCCATCTGTTTAGCACAAATTATTAAATTTATAATTTCTAGCACGTCGAGATTCTTTTCACATATCGAGCCCTAACCGCCAAAAAGATGTTAGCGACAGTTTTTCAAAATTTTCTCTTTGATGCAGAAATGTTCCTAGAGCGTCCAGATGCATTACTGCATCACGACGAATCTGGAGGAAAAGTTTTTGAAGACATTAATGTGTAAATACAGATTTACTTGAAGAAATCATAAAACAGAAGTTTGGACGATGTTTTAAAATTTTGAGAGAGCTAACAGATTTTCCACTTCTTAGAAACTTTCAAGGCAAATTTTACTATTCCCAATTAAAAATAAAATTGCGCGTCAAAACTTAACTGTCTGAAAGTATTAAAATTGCGTAAGTTGCAAGTTTTTACTAGTTTTGCGTTCAATAACTTTTTTTTTTTGATAATTTTCTCTTGCTCTAAATTTTATTCTCTATTTTTCTTTTACGCCCTCGCTTTAAGTACTTACTCGAAAAGTTATTGAATGGAGTCATTATTTTAAGTAGATAAATGTTGTATCGTGTTTTAAAACCATTTACTAAATTTTTAGAGATATTAAGTTTTATGTACATGTAACATGGAATGATGATTTTCTTTTGTTCGACGAGAGAATCGAATTTAGATTATTTCCAGGCCAATTTGCAGGGATGGTATTTTCAGGAATAGTAGTCGAGAATTCTAGCTTTAATCTTAGCCCAAGTGGAATGTTCCGTCATATTTTGTTTCTTAACTAGAGCTTCTCAAATATTGCAAAAAACGCGATTTTTGACATTTTCGCTTCGTTTTTCGTAAAATCTGGAGCTCATGGAAACTTTAAACTTACGGATTCGTAATCGGCACAAAGAAAGTCTACAGTTTTAGCATTTACTGCATAAATTTTTTCCTCCATTTTTTTGGCCTGTGTTATTATTTTATTTAAATTATTAAGGTTAACTAACCATCTTTTATTCTTTTCAGACATCAAACTACAGACATGAAAAGAGCCAGGCGATGGCAGCTCATAACGGCGTGTAAGTATCAATACTAATTTGTATTCTATTAATGCAAGCAAATCCCGTAATTCCGAAAAATTTTAAATTTCAAATTAAGATTAAGAACTTGATTATGAATTTGAAGTATGGTCTTTGTAAAATGCCTTTTTGACAACAATCAACAAAAGGCTTGAAACTGTACTTTTATAATTGGAACCTTAGTCGTTTTTTGTGGAAGATTTAAAGAAATGTACTCATAGCGTCGCTAATGTAAACGAAACAGAAAGTTTTAAGGAAAAGTTACAAAATTTTTATACCCGAGCGCACTTGTGCACAAGGGTATATTAATTTTGTTCACATAACGGTTGTTTGTAACAGCCAAAACGAATCGAGATAGATATAGACAAATGTATACATAAATGATCAGGATGAAAAAAGAAATCGATTAAGCCATGTCTGTCTGTCCGTCCGTCTGTCCGTCTGTCCGTCTGTCCGTGTACACGATAACTCGAGCAAAAATTGAGATATCTCAACGAAATTTGGTATGTAGGTTTCCCTTAATCCAAGTTCCGTTGGTATTAAAAATGGGCGAAATCGGACTGTAACCACGCCCACTTCCCATATAACGGTAATTTCCAGAAATACGAAAACTGCGATATTTTAGTAACTACTGAAGATAATTCACTCAAAATTGATATTTACAATAATTTTCAGACGAAAAATAAGAATATTATAAATTTTTGGAAAATGGGCGTAGCCACGCCCACTTATGGTTACATGTGTATATCTTTCTTGCAAACTCGGCACAGTTGTTGGCCTTGGTAAAACATACGAAATGGCCGAAAAGTTTTTAAATTGGACAATAACCACGCCCACATCCCATATAACGGTAATTTCGAGAAATACGAAAACTGCGATATTTTAGTAACTACTGAAGATTATTCACTCAAAATTTATATTTACAACGATTTTTATACGAAAAATAAGAATATTATAAATTTTTGGAAAATGGGCGTAGCCACGCCCACTTATGGTTACATGTGTATATCTTGGTAACCGCTACACCATATTTCTTCCAAACTTGGCACAGTTGTTGGCCTTGGTACAGCATACTAAATGGCTGAAAATTTAAAAAAATCGGACAATAACCACGCCCACATCCCATATAACGGTTATTTAGAGAAAAACAAAATCTTAGACAAGTCAGTAAATATTAAAGCTAATTTATTCAAAATTGATGCTTGCAACAATTCTTTACCAAGAAATACGTTTATGGTAAAATTTTGGAAAATGGGCGTGGCACCGCCCACTTATGATCACATATAAGTATATCGGTAACCGTTCTACCAATTTGTACCAAACTCGGTGTGGTTATTGTGCTTGCCACATATAACCATAACGTTGAAATTTATTGAAATCGGACTAAAATTACGGCCGCTTTTCATATAACGGTAAATTTCAGAAATGCTTGAAACTTCAATATTTCGAAATTGAAGGACGCTAATTTACTCAAAATTGATACACCCCGGCTTACCATCTAGCGGAAGGTTTCGGAAAGGTGAAAAAACATATATTTAATACTTGCGCCGGGTATTTAATGTTCGGCTCCNCTTATGATCACATATATGTATGTATATCGGTAACCGTTCTACCAATTTGTACCAAACTCGGTATTTTTATTGTGCTCGCCCCATAACGTTGAAATTTATTGAAATCGGACTAAAATTACGGCCGCTTTTCATATAACGGTAAATTTCAGAAATGCTTGAAAGTCCCCTATTTCGAAATTTAAGGACGCTACTCAAAATTGATACACCCCGGCTTACCATCTAGCGGTAGCTTTCGGAAAGGTGAAAAAACATATCCACCCGGCTCCCCCCGAACTTAGACTTTCTTACTTGTTTTTTTTTTTTATTAAATGCTGGAAACTTTACGTAAGAATTGAGAAAAAACCATTAATCGAACCTGAGTACTTTATTATAATGGGAGGCAGAATTGTAAGATTAATAGATACTATTTCAAACAAGAAACATATGATTTTAAATGGGATACACAACTTCAAAACCTATTTTAATTTATTTATCTATTAAAACATTTTAGGATAATTTATGTTATATATTTGGATTTAATTAAACCAGATTTTTTATAACTCTTTTCAATTAACACCTTATTTACAGCTCTGTTTATGCTGGTCACAAATACAGTAGCAGTGGCGCCGTTCAAAAAAGTTTCAATTGCCACAACATCTGCGACGTCGACAACAACAACTAACACAACAACGGAAGCGCCCAGCAGTGAGACAAATGTACGTACTTTCAATATTTAATTAAAATATTAGTGTATAATAAAATTAATATATGGTCGATTCCACAGAAAAGAAAACCAGCCCGATTTTCTTCTTTCTTTCAAATGTTGTACATATTGGTGATTATAGGTATTCAGTATACCTGTCATCTGCTTCTGATACTAATTCTCATCATGTCCAAGCATTTTGTGTTTAATATTTTACCCAATAAATAGGTGTAACGTGGTCAGTGTTTTTCTTTTTATTTACATTTTTTTATTGACTTGATAACTATTCTCATTTCATTTTGGCACTAAATAATAAGACATATTTAAGAAAGTATTTGCGTGAACAATTGCGAATTGAGCGTTATACTGTTAAATTTTGACAGCTATCCTATTGAAATAAAGCGAAACTAACATTTGTAAAATATCCTTTGAAATCTTTATCTCTTAAGATTTTGACTATATATTTGCCTAGAATTCAATGAACGTTTTTGCAACATGTAAAACTGATAAGTTATCTGTCCCATTACTCGTGATTGTGTCCCTATCACTACAATTTTATAGAATCCTATACAAGTCTACAGCAGACTATAAAGGGTTTAGAAATCTATTTATTTTATAAAAATGTTTTAGAAAATGTTTATATGAGAAATTTTCTATAGAACAGCGATATATGTATTAACATTTGTTTATCTTAGATTAACGCAGTTGTAGAAACCACCGTACCTGTTGTGAAATTATCTTGAATGGCATTAGAAAAAAAAAATAATGATTCAGAAAGGATTAAAAAGAAAGCACATAACATGGTACTTTAGATGAAATTATGCCTATTTTAAGTTATTAAACATAAGTGGTAAGATTTTCAGGTCAACAATTTTAGTGAAGGATGATTTTTGGCCTAGTTAGAATTTTTAAGGCTAATCGAGTTTTTTTTTTCAAGGAAGAAATTATTAATTTATTTCCAAAGTAATTAATTTTAAAAGAAATACACGACAAATATTAAATCAAAGTACATATTAATTTTCTCTGCACCAAATGGCTAAAAGGAGGATATCTGACAACTTCTCATACAAGGAGTTTAGGGAGAAAAAATTTCATAAAATTGTTCAATTGAGAATTACATACCTAGCATTTTACATAAGAAACGATTCGATACTTTCCAGAAGATGCTTTTTAATTCAGTTTTAAAAAGCGATACACGTTCCATCGTTTTAATGGCATTAGGTAATTTATTAAATTGGTTAGATCTGGCGTATTCTATTCTTTGTTCGATACCTCTAGCCGACATCTAGCTACTCTAAGCAGTTCACTATTTCGGGTTTCAAACATTGATTGGTTCCTATAAAATTTCAAAACATGATAACCAAAACCACTTAAATAGCTGCTTTTTATATAAGCCAAAGACAAGTAGTATTGACGTAGTATACTCTTCGAAAACACTTAACGTTGAATGCCTTCTTGATAGGTTAAATACAAGCTTTAGTGCAGTGTTTTGACATGACTGCAGGGACCTAAGTTCATTGGTTACTTTATGGGCATACACTATCGGAAGATAAGTTAAATGACTATGAACGAGTGATTGGTAAAAGGACAATTTAACTTCTTTTGTTAGCTTATTCTTAAATCTATAAAGAATCTCAATAGCGCGAGATATTTTTGATTTTATAGAATCAATATGGACACCGAAAGATAAATTCCGGGAAAGACGTACTCCTAAATATTTAACTAAGTTAACTGCTTTGATCTCGTCACCTTCGACATATACGCTTTGATTCGCTTGACTTTTTATAAGGGGTCGAAACCGAATAAACTTTGTTTTCTTTGCATTTATGACCAATTTATGTAAACGTGAGAACTTAGAAATCACTATGGCATGTTGTTCAATCTGAACCTTTAGGACTGCAGGGGGTTTGTAAGGATAAAACAAGCTTATATCATCCACAAAAATTACAAAACGGTCATTTAAATCAAGATTTTTAATGTCGTTAATGTATAACTTAAATAATATCGGCCCCAAGACACAACCCTGCGGCACACCATAGGTAATAGTTCTTAAGCTACTTTTTGATCCATTTAATTCCACATATTGTTTACGGCTCGAGAGGTATCTAATCGGTTATCAGTCTATGTTCTCTATCCCATTATACCTAACATTTCAAGTTTTTGCAATAAAAAACTATGATCAACCAGATCAAAAGAATATCATTTGTCCAACCCATCACAAACAATATTGACAACGTTGACCACCGCTTCTTCAGTGCCACAACCCTTTTTAAACCCAAATTGATAAGGATACATCACCTTTTCGGATTCTAGCATGTGTACTGGTTGGACATATATGACTTTCTCAAAACCTCTATGGAATTCTGATCATATTAAAAACCGTCGCCAAGAAGAGTGATATGAGATCTCTTGTTAAATAAAGAGCTTTTGGCGGAATGTTATCGTGTCCATGGGCTTTATTTCTCTTTTTTTGGGAAACAAAGTCCATGGGCGTTATTACCACGGGCCTTATTGCACTCCACCTCTTGATACCTTATCTAGACAAGAACACAATATAATACTCAACAATTAGATTTAACTTTTTTTGGTATTTACAAGAAGAAAACCAAAAAAGATAAAAAAATATGTCTTATTTCAATTGGTACATACTAGGGATGTTAAATAGGGAATAATATGAGTAATTCGGAAAATGGTTTAAAAAATTTAGTGCAGTGTACTCAGGAAAACAGTATGGGGATCAAATTAAAGAGAAAATTCTGTAGAGAAAGAACAGATTCAGTTTTTTGGTTCATAAGGTATTGAAAATGTCCTTAAAAATTGTAACCTTGAATGTCCTTGAAATTTTGCAGTATTTATTTTGAGAAAATTATATGTTAAGGACTGATATAAACTCGACAACGTCCTCGAATATAGTCCTTCTAACTTTATTAGCTTAAAAAAATTAAATTGATTAAAAAGGCGTTTCAATACCTGTTCGTCCTTGTGGACCCGAAAAATTTTATTTTTTTTTTTAAATCCTACAGAATTTTCTCTTTCATTTGGTACCCATTTTTATTCTACGCTGCACTGAATTTTTTAAATAATTTTTTAGACTTTATGATGTCTTTGAATTTATAAAGTTGTTGTAAAAAAAATTCTAAAACTAAAAACGCAGTTTTACTGCAAGTAATTTATAATAATTTTTTTGCTGGAGGTGTCACGCTTTTTTCCATACAAATTTCCAAAATTCACAAAAATCAACGATATTTTATAATTGCATGAAACTTCATTTTATCCTACTTTAATTTAATGGGTTATAAAACTGCGTACCTAAAATTTTTCTAAAAATACTGAGTAAAAAGTTTTAAATTTTGGCAAGTTATTCTGCACTTTTATAATTTGTGTACAAATTTTGTAATGCGCATTTAAATGCAGTTAATTATATATAAAATGAGGTAAACTTTTATACAAACATTTGAATATTAAATAAAGAAAATAAATATAGACTAAACTGGTTGAAATAAGGCGTTTCTTTTATTTCTGCCACTAGTATTATGAACTTCATTCAGCCACACAATGCATATGTTGACAGTGGCGGATACAGGATTTTATTTGGGGAGGGGCGATTGGGATGGACTTGTCGAATAACGTTCAATTACAGGCATCTAACTTAATTCATAGCGGAGTGACCAATCGAAGCTATATGACCTACAAGACAACCTACTTGAACCCTCATTTATTTTTCACACAAGTAGAGGTTCTAATAATTTTTATGAAGTCCGAATTAAAATGTTTTGTGATATAGTTTTACTTTAAGTAAGTTTCATGTTGTGAATTTGGCGTAAGGTCCCTTTACAGAGTCCCATGTAATAAAAAAATTATACTATTTTGCAGGGTTTGTATTTGCACACACATGCTCTGCTCACACACACGCCAGAAACACATTCAACTTGCACTCACTGCTCATACACATGTGTGTGCATAAGTGTAAAACAAACTCTACTCACAGAAAAGTGTGTGCTGTTTGTTATTAAGCACATGCACATGTGTGTGAGCCGATTTTTGTACAAATTTCAGCCCATGCACATGCACATAATATATTCTTAAAAGAATTTGTTTATTAAACGTTATTTTTTGAAAGACAATTCAATAAAAAGTGAGATGTTGTTTGTTTTTTATATGACAGAAAACATATTAAAAAATTATTTTAAGATTTGAGTTAGAATTCGAAGTGTATAAGTTTCTCTACGCATAGCACACACATGTGCGTGTGCTTTACATTAATAAAAAGAAAGTACACACATGTGCCCGTGCTGTTTACCAAACGGCACACACATGTGATGTGAGCAAATTTTTAATTTTTTATATGCACAGCACACGTGTGTGAGCTTAAAATGTTAGGATGTGCTGCACATGTGTGTGCAAATACGAACCCTGCTATTTTGTAAAAAAGCACAAGATAAAAAGTTATGCTCTGGGTTTATTAAAGCAGTATTTATTTGTGTATTTACTTATTTTTGACTTATAATGTTTGTTAAATGAGGGATGTAATTAGGTGACTTAACAACTTATTCGGAATTTTGATTATAATAATTTAAATTGCAACTCAATTTTGCGCTTTCATTTTGGGAATCTTTGTATTACCCGTTCATTCTCAATTTCTATATCTAAGGGCCAATTTCAGTGGCAGTTTGAACTTAGATTAGGTAAACTGAATTTAAAATAAACAGCTGACTGACATTTGATTGGCTAATCTTAGTTTAAAGCAGCCAGTTCGGGCTAGAGCTATCAGTATTTTCATGCATGGTACTATGGAACCATGTTTTTAACCGGAAAAGGGTAACTTTTTCTGAAGTATCGTTACTAGCTAGAAGTGTAGTCAGAATGCGGAGAAAATTGTTAATCAACGGAAAAGCATATTCGTCGTCCCATTTTCCAAGAGCTTCTGCTGCTGATTTTAGGTATGGCCTTTCGCTTACCGTTCTGACCACACTATATACTCTCCTTCCAAACTGATAGCGTCTTTTTGTAGCGTATTATATTCCCTAATTTTATATGTATGGAAGTAATAGTTCAACTCATCTTTCTCGAAGATCGAGCTAAATATTATGCATTAGCGGTATAAATATTACCTTTCGATAATAATCTTCGGCGCTAGATGCACGATAATTAGCCCGAAAATTTTATCTATCCGCCCTCCGAGGAAGGACAATGTCCAAATAGTATAATTCTTTAGCGATAACGGTAACTATCGCGGCAAGCGCTTTTTCTACGCATTTTGCTGTAATCCCCCTACGAATTTCTGGTTACACAGCCGAATGTAAAAAATTCACCGCGGAAATAGACAAAGAGATGTATCAAAAAGTTTGATTCGACATGCATACATATAGTTCTTATCATAACTTTACGACACTCACATATTGGCAAGATTTCACCATTTATTTTAAAATTTTTTAATTATAATTATTGTTTTTTTA